AAATGCAACACCATTTAACAGCAATTTCTTTGGCAAATAAAAATCTTTCTTTTCACTTTCCATTTTTTTTGTGGCAAATTTTTTATTTTCGCTTTGAGTACTTTTTCCATTACCGAATTTCGCCCAACAATGCGGGTCAATTGTTTTAGCCAACGGTTGGCCGGAAAGCAATGTTTCCTTAATTTCGTTTACTATTTTTGTTTGTTTATGGTTTAATACGTTTTTACCACCTCTACAGCTGAGAAATTTATTATGTTTTTTTTGGTGCATAGAAATGTTTATCTCTCCTACGTGTTTTACCTAAATATGCATAAACAATAATTATTAATTTTTTTTTGCTGTCGATTTTTATTACCGTTACTGATTAAGTGCAAAATACCGGCCAAATGGCGTTTTTAATAATTGTTGCCAAATTTAGTTCTAATATATTTTTATTTGTATTTTTTGTTATTAAAACAGGCGACTTGTATCAAACCCTAACCTCACTTTCCCTCACTCATCGCACTGCAGCTTGTCTATCCGCTATCCTTACACTGCCAAACTTTTCAACCTGCTAACCTTTGAACCCAATAAAATTGTTCAACTAAAAAATAAACAAACTTTGAAAAATACATTACATATACATATATACATATGTATGTACATTTATATATCACAAACTGTACATTACATAAGTACAAACAGACAACTAACTTTACATTTGTATTCTCCTTCTTCTCCTTCTTTCTTGTATTGTTGCCGAGTCAGTGAGCAATATTGATTTCTTCCCCTTTCAACCTTTTGTCCGTCCAGTGTGAAGATGACAGATTATCCTCATGCAATTTGCAGAAGAAATAAAAATAAGAAATAAATGAATTGACGAGAAAATAAAATCAAAAACACGTAAAATCAGTAGAAAGTTGTCATGCAGAGGCTTGCGTGTCCGACAAGACACTGCGAAGTTCAGATTTTGCTCAGAAGCTCGCACATGACAACCAACATACGAGTACGCACATAAATTATGAGTAATGAGCTCATATGCTGCCGATCGGAGAGGAGATGGATGTAAGAAAGTAGTGAAATTATGTCTTATTTAATGAGTAGACAGAAAAAGTGCGCTGTAGTTGTTTGTAGTACTGACTGGAGGGTAGAAAATTTCGAGGAAAAGTGAGACCGAGCTTAGAGCTACTTGCTGCCATCGACCGAGAGGGGTAATTGCTTTCATTGAAGTCAACATGAACATTCCCTGGGTGAGCGAGTCCTGCGCTTCAAGCGATTTTTGGTGGCTTTTTTAAATGTAAATGAGTAGAGTTCTTTAGCGTATTCCAAGAACTGACGGTACGGTGGCGGAGGTCTATTTTCGAATGTAAAAATGACTCATGTAAAAATGACTCTTCAGTCCAAGCTTCTTCAAGAGAGTACCTCGATCGTTAATTGTTTCCACTTATCACGAAGTGACGGACCAGTAGTCGAGTGGTCAGCATTGCGTACTACCATTTGAAAGGTCAGGATTCGAGTCCTGTGTAGACCAACAATAAAAATTAGATAAAATTAATTTTTATAATTCAGATCGCCCATTCGCTTGAAATGTAATTCTAGCACGAACCTGCCGTTAAAAGGCGGCTTAGAATGACGGTCCCTTCCTGATGTGAGACACATGTTTACTCAATAGAGGGGTTGCTGTATATCCAATTGCCTTCGTGCCTGACATCTGAACGATCGAAAATTGAGATCTGTAGTAAGATCTGACTGAATCATGATTCGGCAAATGCGCGTGGCGCTCTTCGTGTCAGTTAGGCGGTATTCATATTATTATTATGTAGGCTCAAACCACCGAACGTGAGATCTGAAATTTTTGGTTTTTCGGCCAAGTCGTTCTCTGAGACTAACAGCTTGGTCAAGGAAGATCATGACACAACACATTCTGCACAACACGAGTTCTGAGTTTCATTGGTTTACTTGGCTTGAGGATACTTAAAATCCCAAACTGGGCTTACGAGTTCTGCAACGAGGCTATCTACTTCACACGAAAGGAGCGCGCAACCCACTTTCAGACCGAAAGTTGAAGCGGTTCATTGAGAGATATGCCCTGTCGAAAGTTTGGTTTTTCATGTTTGGAAGGATGAGCGAGGATTATGATATCTTCCAAAAACAATTGTGTTTAGATTTCCGTTCTCTGGTAATCCGCACAGCCTTGAAGGGGTACTGGAAAGATCTTTAAGATCACGCTGATGTGCATGAACTCGGCTATCTCAAATTTAAGGTGGTGATCCTGAGCCTTGTCAAGTCGACTGAATCCTATTGTAAGGTATTTCGTGTATCCTTGAAAAAACATTTCCTTAAGGTCTCAGCAAACCCTGGAGGAGTTTTACAGCGATGAACATAAACTCTTTTTTCGCTTAAGAAGGAAGTTAGTAGATCGTTAGGAGATAATATTAGGGATTTGGACTCCGCGTGGTGCCACCGAATGCGGCTGATAAGCACCAGATCGGATGGTATAATTCCACTTGACCAGACAGGCATCTTCTCTCTATTCTTGCCATGCCTTTTTTGTGAGGTAGCTGAGGCCAGCAAAAAATGCTCCGCCACCGGCTAGTTTCTGCGGACTGACACCATGTCCGGTCTTCGTCCCCACTCTTACAACATGTCACTCAACTCGTAATGATTCGTTGCTAGGTCTTGGCTTCTTGACAAGACGAAGCGCAGACCATCAGACGACTTTGACATTTTCTTCATAATTCTCTTGTCCCCAGCTCCTTCCTTCAAAGATGTCTCTTTTCCCTCTCCAAGTCTGAATTATAAATATGAGTGAATGAAGGCGATCTTATTTTGCGGCTGAGCACTGTTGAAGCAAATTTTATGCATACATACATATCGTTAAAGTTGACATGCAAACTGTAAACAGGCGATTGTGCCCGTATTTTTATAGCAAATATTTACAGCCGACACTCTGCCTCTGCCCATTTTCCCAATGAGTAAAGCACATATGAGAACATGCATACAAACATATACACATCAGTATATAAGCATACATGTATGTATGTAGGTATAAAACTTAATAATATGAACACTCATCCGCTCCATTGCACGCATTCAACGTGTTAACCCACTTTTAGCCGGTGCGAAGAGACACTATGAGACGCGTCGCTGCACGTGTTACTCAGCCGATGATGATGATAATTATGATGAAGATGATGAACTTCATGATGATAATGAGTCGACAGCGTTTGTCTCTTTGTCTTTGCGAAATTTATGTTTTTTTTTTTATTTGACATTTTACAGCTTCGCTTTCAATATTTTGCCCATTAAAAAATATTATATTTGATTTTAATATTTTTTAATTTTACTCTCTTTTTCTCTCTTCCTACTCACAATTTTAATTGCAAATATCCACACCCGGTTTTTTCTTTTAAGATTTCCTGGTCGGTTGTTGCTTTTTGTCACTTTCATGTCGGCATAAAAGTAAAAATATAAATTGAAAGGGAAGTTGTAAAATCGTAGGGGATTCGTCTTAGAGAGCTTAAAAGCTTTGCTCGTTAGAGTTTGTTTGTGTGTAGTAATTTTGAAATTTAAAATATAATTTAATAAAATTGATATTTAAATTTGTATTGAAAAGGAAATTATGAATATGAAATATTTAATGAAATATTATTTAATCACAAAATAATGTTAAAAGCTTCGATGAAAAATATACGATTACATGGTTTGTGACCACCAATACCCTAACAATTTGTATGTATAAATCAAAAGCTTAATGAATTTTAAACTTCTTTCGAAATTTAATCGAAAAAAATGCTACAAGAACTCTAAAGCTTTTAAAAGTTGTTTAATAGAAAAAGCTTAAGTTAACAAGTTTGGAGCTTTTGTAAGGTTGCTTTTTTGCTTTGTACGCCTTGAAGGTACAATAGCTCATAGGGCTCTAAGGTATTCATTGGTAACTTATTCAAATAATTGTCTTAGCAAAGCTTTTAATAAACCATCATTACTTTTTAGAATCTCAGACTAATGTTTGTAAAAGCTAAATGTGAAAGCTCTTCGAAGGAAACCGAAAATGTTCAAAGCTATCAGATGCCATTTAAATATTTGCTTCTTTTATCTATGTAACCTGATCTGACTGCTGTAAAGCAAAAGCTTTGAATTATCAGTCAATATAAAAGCTTGCTGTGGGGTTTTAAGACTTTCAATTATTTCTGCTTTCACACAAAAACTTGTATGTGTTATTTTCGAAGGAGTAGGTTGAACAACTCTGTTAACCGTTTTAGACTTATAATAAACTTAAAGTTTTCATTAACTTTAAAAGCTCGTTTAGTGGGCTTTAGATCTCGAAAGCTTAAGAGCTCTTGTACAAAAATGTTTCGGCAGACTTTTTCGAGAAATAATTTTTACAGCTATATAGTGGCCTTCAGAGCTTTTTTTAAAGCTTTTGAGCTACCAGTAACAATAAAAGTCCATTTCGCGGCTTTTTAACTTAATTTGACGCTAAAGACCTCAATTTAAGATATCAATTATAAGTTTATATGCATTGTTGTTAATAAAAAAGAAAATGACAGAAATTAAAAAAAATAGAAGCATTAAAGCTCTTTTTGAAGCTTATGTAGTAAATAACAGTTGAAATCGCGCTCCGTGGCTACTCCAAAATTTTAACTTCTACTATTTTTCATTTATTAAAAAGTTCACCACACGTGGTGAGCTTTGGAGCTTTTATTTATTTTAAAAAATTACAATTGGGTTATATTTTTTTATTTCCTTCACTTGTTTTTCAAAACAAATTTTAAATATCTCGACATTTTCATCAATTACTTTTCATTCACTTTTTTACTAAAGAAAAATAAAAAAAAACAATAATTTTTTAGTAAAGAAATTTGCGGTTTATAAAAACTTCAAAAAAGCTCAAAAAGGTTGGTTGACAAAGCTCTCAGGAAGGTCAGCTACACCATAAATGTATTTTTCTTGTTCATTCAGTCATTATCGCAGTCTCAACAAATTTTAATTCCTGCCTTCTACTTTTCTTCTCTTTGCAGAACCGAAACGTCGCCGCTTCCATCCGCTGCGCAATCTCCGTCGCATCTTTCGTCGGCGCACCATCACGAACGTGCCGAGCGATACGCCGCCGAACATTAACACGACCAACACATTGCCACCGCCTACGAGTAGCACGAGCGAGAAGAATCTGCGTAGCGCTACACTCTCGTCCATATCGTCAGTGGTGTCGGCCTCATCGCCCTCCTCACCGCTCACACACCAACAACTGCAGGAAGCCTACTCCTCGCAGTCGCTACCCAAATCGAAATCATACTCGATCAGCGGTGGTACAAGTGTTGGGAGTAAAGCAGCACAACACAGAGATGCTTTGCTGGCAACGGTGTTAGGTGGCAAGCATAAGCAGCAGCAGCAGCAACAGCAACAGCAACAAGTGAAACAACAATTGCAACAGCAACACCAACAATTGGAAGAAGTGAACGTAACGGATAGCGATATGTATACAACACACGCCTCGCACACCGCGTCCTCCTCCATGTACCATCATCATCATCATCACCACCACCACCACCAGACACACCAACAGGTGGGCTCCAGCGGTGGTGTGCTCTTCCAGCCGCCACACTCGGTGCGTCAGTCGCTTGGCGTGGCCGTCTTGCCGAGCGCCATGAATCGCAGCTTCTACGCGGAGCGTCAGAAATTGCGCAGCATCGGCGACTCCTCGCAGGAATTGGACAGTAGCGGCAATGACAGTGGTAGCGCCAATAATACGACGATGAGTGGTAGTGGCAGTGGCGGCGGTGGTAGTGCGAATGGCGGCGGGCGGAGCGCGAATAGTGAGATCAGCGATAGTCAGCGGAGTCTCAGCGAGGGACGCTTGGTGGACAGGTGGGTGGGGCAATGCTTGTGGGTATTTTTGTATTTATTTAGTTATATCGGGCGATCCATGTGTCACATTTATTTAATTAATTTAGCTTCGAGTCACGTTCTCTCGCTCTACGACAGGTTTTTGCGGCAATGTGTGTCACGAAGTTTATTTTCGTATTTCTTGTGCCCTTTCTGGTTGTATAAGAGCGGAAAAAACATTACTCTTTCGCAAATTTGTTACTTTGTGTGTTTGCTACTTGCGTTTATTGTGTATTTTTATTGCGAAAATTGTCATTGCACATCGCCAATACCTGGTTTGGCTCGCTATGTGCGCCACTGCTGCTTTGTTGTCGCTATTTTTTCTTCTGTTTTGCTGTTTTCGGAAGTCGTACAAGTGATTTCCGGTGCCGGCGTAACAGTTTCACTTGCTGCCTTTGTTTCGTTTTTGCAGATTCTTCGGCTTGGCGCGCGTGTGGCTCAAAGCGTTAACATTTATTTTTAGCCACTTTATTTCTCGAAACGTTTTATTGATTGCCCATAACTTTGTTGTCACGTCCAATACACATTGAGAAACAGCTGCCATGTTTCTAGAGAAAGCTCACGTAACACTGTTATTTATTCTAATATCTACAACCTGTCCAAGCTTAAAAAAGCTCCCAAAGCGTTAAACTCAGACTAAGTACCGGGTTCTTCTCTTTATAGATCTATTATATGGAGTCCCATCTGACCGAGAGGCCAAAAGTAGCTAAAGGGATTTTCGGCTGAGCTGCTCCTCCAATTTCGGATATGCGTCTTTTTGACTTTAATACGAAAGGAGGGAGTCAACTCTGAGCTCCTGATTCTCCTTAGCTTGAAGCTTTTATTTTCATGTCAAAAATACACTTGGATGGCTTCACATTCCCTGACTAGGTGCGATCACAATTCGTAAATTCTATAATATTTGGATACTAGATGTTAGACTTCAACTAAGGCTATCCGAATATTAGTACACAATGCTAGTCACTCGGCCATTGCAATCGCCAAACCAAACCATAGAGAACGATATTAAGTGTCGAGCCTCCCCTTGTTATATCAAGCCGGAACAGCTTTCAATCGCCAAAGCGATTAGTAGCGTATCCAACGTTCACCAACCCATCAGAACTTAGTAAGTGTCAGCGTTTCAAAATATTTTATGCCCAATCTCTCAAATTACTGTCAGTTATGGTTATGAAAAAAATGCAATAATAGGAAGGAGACGACGAAAGAGCCTCAATATAAGGCTGCCGATTTGACAAAGTCAGCTTTATGTGGGTATCTAAGTCAAAGTCAGCTTAACTCCCACGAATCTCTCAAAAGCGTTAGCTCTAAGCACAGACCACAGTGAGCCCTGAGGCGCCGTGTTATCCTAAAAAAAAATCGCAATAAATCTCCTGTAGGAACAGCTGTCATATTAACTACCAGTTCAGGCCCAAAAGTAAGAAAGAGCTCAAGTTTGTGACAGAGAACATCGTGATCACGAGGTCTTCAGCAAGACAACTTTGCAGTTCGATTATCAGATAATTCCTTGCTGACATACTAGCTGACATACTAAGGAACTGCCTATGAGGAGAAAGATTATATTCCTCGGAGCAAGGTTTGCATAACAAGCAGGAAAGTGATAGAGACGAGAGAGAGAGAGCCCTGATGGGAAAGAGAGAGAAGAAAAAGAAGAGAGAGAAGAAATTATAGAGAGAAGAGGGAGTATAGATTAATGAGTATTGAGCCAAGCTCATCAGCCTTGCGGTTAGGTAGAAATTATATGAAAAAATGGAGAGTGATTGGTGTTTATATGGGAGAGTTCTGAAAGCGACTGTTGAATTAATATTAGGGCGGGAATGGGTTTGCTCTAATTTGCTACTCAATGATTACAGAAAGACTCGTTATTTAAAGACTTTTCAGGTGCTTTCATTCTGCGATACCCTGCTGCGACAAGGATAGTGTTTAAACAAGGTATTCCTAAAATTAACTTGGGCGTAGTAAATTTGGTACGAAAAATACCACTCCGGGGATTTTTAAGAATTGAAGATTTAGCTCAAGTTCTTTTGCCAGCTTTTGTTTTAATTTTTTCTACTTTATTCTTTTTTTTTAGTAATTCTGAGAATCTCGTATTTTTTATCAAATTTTACTAAAAAATTCTTAAAATGTACTAAAAATCTTTTTTATCTTTTTTTTCAGCGACTACAGCCACGATCCACTCTCTCAATCACATGATAGCGTATTTTCGGAATCGGCATCAGCGAGTCTCTTTTCCAATAGAGATTATCAGGTAAGTTCATCCTTCAGAGACCCTAAAAAAATAACGGATTTTGTTTAAAGCCAAAAAAAAATTATAATATTTTATTTTATTTTTTCGCTAACATTTTTTATACGGACTTTCCAAGTACAATTTAGAAAAGAGAGATCACATCACACAAATAATATAGCAACCCTCTCGAAAAAATATACAGAATTTATATAAAGAAAAAAAATGATTTAAATATATTACAAAATACAGAATTTCATACAACAACAAGCGAAAATTAGATGCTCAAAAAATACATATTCCCACAACGTAATAAATTGCAGCAACAACAATGATGTTTAGATTTTTATTGCTATTGCATCATTTAACTAGTTTCTGCTGTGGGATATTTTTTTTATTTTTTTTCTACGCATCACTTGTTGAGTCATCAAAGTGGTGAAAAACAGAAAAAAATGTCTGGTCGTTGATTTTAACAGTCACAGTGACTAAAAAATATACAAAAATATTTGAGTGATTTTTTTTGTGATGCCATCACGTGATATGAGCATCACTAGCATATCACGGCAAGGTCAACAAGGTGGAGTAAGCCAAATTGAATTTATGCGTTAAATACTGTAATAAATTTAATATCAAAGGCGCCTAAATTTTGTTGAATTTGAAATGCTTTTTATTACATCACATCACAACAAGTGAATATCATTAAGATATCACGCGGCGACATTTATATCACATGCTTCTTTAAACGTTTTGTAAATATAGTAGGTTTCATTTGGCCATTAAAAATTTGCATATCTTGCAAGCTAGTCATTCTGAACATTTTCGGCTACATCACATGACATGTACGTCATTAGAATATCACCATGATACGGCGATGCAATATATTAAAAAATAATAATAATAAATAGAAGCGAGAAAGTCTACTGAATAAGTCAACTGAGTATCTTATGCTGACTATTTTGTCGTGCTTCTTAAATTGAGCAAAATCAATTTTCTTTAGTGAGCTTCATATGACTTGAAAATCAGTATCATCATCACCACATCACTCTGTCATCACTTGCGTGATATCGTTGCTTGTCTTCAGGAATTTTTATAAATTTTCTAGAAAATTTATATCTAATGATACTTCAAATAAAAAGGCTTACTCGTGTTTTTTTTTTTTTTTGCTGATATCACATTATAACTACATCACCGCTATATCACTTGGAGATCACTAGCATATTATCGGTGCTATTAAAAATATTACTCACATTACCACCATGCTTTATATTGATCACATGATATTAGGAATGAAGCCGTTTTATTTTCTGGCGTATAAATGCTGCAAATTTTCTAACATCAAATCTTACCATATCACAACAAATCATATCACCTCATCACATGATCATCACATCATGTATAATATAATATAAAATATATAAATAAAAGAATAAAAATAAACGTTTATCGAAAGTAATTTTTAAATTTTTATTAGAAAAAAAATGTTTTCTTATTTTTTTGTTCTAAAAAAATCACATGAGCGTCACTGCCATATCATTTTATAATCACATAAAAAGGCACACTTCAGAAAATGATATTATTTTCATGTATAAAAATGCTACCGACATTTTCAGCCCATATGACTGCAGTCTCACATCACTTGACTCCAACACTACCTCACATCATATGAAAGATTGTCAGATATTATCTATATGCGGAAGCGCAGTTAAACGAAGGCGCAACCACCTTCAATTCAATTAAGCCCACAGTACGTTGCATACAATTCCCAGCTGCATTTTCAATAGATGCTGGGTAGCGCTGGTTGGACTCTAGAGAGACAGGGAGAGAGAGAGGAAGAAGGTCACAATGAAATCAGAGCAAAATTGTTGCAATCAACTTGGCGTTGTGGGGTCATTAGAGGCGCATTTTCTTTATTATTATTATTGTTGCTGTTGCAGTTGTTGTTGCTTTACTCACTATTGTGTAATGTTGTTGACATTATTTACTATGTATTCTCGTTATTGTTGTTGTTGTTGTTGTTGTTGTACGCTGATGCAATCAATTTAAATTGATTTTAATCAAATTTAATTTAATTTATTAATGTTGTTGCGCGATAAATTACCTAAAAACGACTGCTACACACAAATTGTATAAATCTGCTGTTGTTGCTACTCCGTTGGGTAAAGCTCTTGTATGTGTGTGTGTGTGTGTTTGTGTAGTCACATCAGAAGATTGATTGCATTGATTGTTCGGCTAGTGGGTGCTCTGTCGACGACATCACAGCAATCAAGCGGCTGGTATGACAGCAATGGTGAGTCAATATGTATATGTATGTAAATATGCTTTCAATTTCAAGTGCATGTGGCATGTTGCGTGTGACAGTGTGTCTGTGTGCATTTGAGTTGAGTCGCATGGTTGTGTGTATCATAATTGAAATCTCCTCACATTTTTTCTTCTCTCGATTTCGCCGATTTCTGTTTTCTTCTATTTTTCTTCTGTTTGCTAAATTTTTCATACAGCTTTCATCTCCTCGCCTGACATTTGACCTTCTTTTATGTTTGCTCTCTTTCTACTTCTTTTTTTTACTCGCTTTTGCTTAGCTTCCTTTGACCTTTGAAGTGCAATTTGAGCTTGATTGATTGAATTCGTTTTGTCTTTTGACAATTCACAGCTGGGCCATAAGCCGTGTGTTGCCTTTAGCCCTTTAGGTTTTGACCTTTCAACACCTAAGGTGCTCTAATTGACATAAATTCGGATTATTTTCTACAGAAGCAACAGAAATTGAGTGGGAATCAGTTAGATAATTTGAATGGGCATACTGGAAGATTTCTCTCTTATCTCTGTTTTCCAAGGTAACGGTAAAATGTATGAAATTAACTAAATATTAGAATATGAACTTTTGTTGGTTATGTAAAAAACATGCAAATAAATGATTCTCTGAGAAAAGCTAGGTTAATGAATTAATCATTTTTCTCTTTAAACTATTTTTTATGATTAGATTTGATTTTATTTCATTTATTTTATCAATAAAATTATTTTAAAAATATTATTATTTTATTCAATTATTTTTATTTATTTTATTTTATTTTACTATTATTACTATTTGTTTTACTTTAACATTATTAATCATTTTGGTTTATTATTATTATTAATATTTTATTAGATTGCATTTTTTTTTTACTCTCATTAATTGATTTGTTTTATTTTTTTTATTTTTAAATTTGTTTCCCATTTTTTCTTTTTTTATTTATTTACTATTTTGCTTATATTTTTTTAAATCAATTTTATTTTTTTTTAAGTTGTTATATTAACTTTATTTGATTTATATTTTTTATAACATATTATTATTATTATTTAAATTCATTTAAATTTTTTATTCAAATGTATTATACTTCATTTGATTTTATTTTGGTCTGTTTTACTTTTTTATTTCATTTTACGTCACGTTTTTATTTAATTCAATTTTATCATCTTTTGTTATAATCTATCATCATTTACTTTATTTTAATTTAATTTAATTTATATATGATATTTTTTTTACTTTATATGGTTTTAGTTATTTTTTTTTATTTTAACTCATTTCATTTTCATATATTTCGTTTAATTTTAATTTTTTTTTATATATTGTATTATTTATTATATATATATAGTTTTTATTATATTTCACTTTAATTTAATTTTTTAACTTAATTTTATTAAGTTTAATTTTGTTTTATAATTAATATTATTTAATTTTTTATTTTATTTTATTTTAATTTATATTATTTTATTTTATTTTATTTTATTTAATTTTATTTTATTTTATTTTATTCTATTTTATTTTAATTTGTTTTATATTACATAGTTTTTATTTTATTTTACCATAGTTTAATTTATTAAACTTAACTTTATTTAGTTTAAATTTATTTTATTTTATTATATTTTGCTTTATATTATTCTATTTTATATTTTTTTTCTATAAATTTTTTATGTTATTTATTTTAAATTAATTTGTTTAAAGTAATTATAATTAGTTTAATTTTGTTTTAGTCAATATTATTAATTTTTTTTATTTATCCTTTATTTTGTTCTATTTTAATTTGTTTTGTATTAAATAATTTTTATCTTATTTTACTTGAATTAAATATTTTTAAATTAATTTTATTTAGTTTAATTGTGTTTTAATTAAAATTATTTATTTTTTTTTTAATTTTTTATTTTATTTTAAATAATTTAATTTTATTATATATTGCCTTTTATTATTCTATTTTATTTTTTCATTTAATATAATTTTTATTTTATTTTACTTTATATTAATTTATTTGTATTCGTTTTATTTTGTTAAATTGCGTTTCAATTATTATTATTATTTTATTTTTCTTTTATATTAATTTATATTATTTTATTATGTTTCATTTTTAATTATATTTTTTAATATAATCTATTTTAATTTCTTTTAATTTTTTTAATTTAATTTTATTTATTTATTTATTTTATTTATTTTTGTTAGAATTTTTTTCTATTATTTAATTTCAATATCTCTTATTTTATTTACCATACTTTGTATTATTATTATGAAAAGGAAAAGATAAATCAGCTCAAAAAGACTAGGTAAAATTTAGAAAACCTAAATAACTTTAACGGTAAACGCACATGAAAAGTCTCGTCTGCCAGCACGCCAAGAAAAAAAAACGAAACAGAAAAAGTAGAAGAAGAACAAGTTTGCCAAACAGGCTGCACATGCCACATTGATAACAAACAACAACAGCGTATAGAAGGACTGCGAAAAAAGCTGTCCCCATCTCCGCGCAACACTACACCACCCCCAGCAGCCAGCGTTGACAGCGTCAATGCGTACAAACCATAGAAATTATAGGCGAAGTTCAATTCAATTGCTGCCTAGAGCACACAGAAAAAAATGCTTTATGATGAGCAACAGCAACTTGGTCTGGTATGTCTGTTTTGCCGCATGTCGAAGTAAATCAAAACTCTAGCCAAAGCTGAAGGCAACACCATCAAGCAGTGCTAAACCGGCCTCTTCGTGCCAAGGCAATACTTGAACTCTCAAT